TTTATTCTTTTCTTTATAATTTCAATCTATCTCTCTCTTTATTCAGTTGCTTCAACATTAATAATAATAATAATATAGGCTAAATTTCGGGCCCGGGCCCAAGCTCGGGCTTCGGGCTTTTTATGAGGGCCGGGCTCGGCCCAAATTGTAGGCCCGATGGTCGGGCCGGGCTCGGGCTCGGGCCTTAAAAAAATTTGTTAATACACAGTAAAAGCCCGGCCCGAGCCCGGCCTGGCCCGGCCCATGAACAGGTCGGCTTTTTATGTCCCCTCACAACGACTCCGATGCAAGTGTTTCCACTTGTTTCTATTCATCAACAAGGCAAGCATCCAAGTCGGCTGTAGTTGCAGGTGGTGACCAAAAACAGAGGGAAACGGGTTTCAATATTGAGGTCCCAAAGCTTCAAGGAGGTTTCTCTACTTGGCAAGCAACCAAACTGGTTGTAGTTGCAAGTGGTGAACAAAAGCGATGGGAAACAAATCTCGAGTTTGAATTCACAAAGTTTAATGGCGGTATAGCCTCAAATGAATTCATGGACTAGAATTCCATGGAGGAGTTAGCAATTTCAGAATCTGAAGGTAAAATCAAATCTAATGACTTTGTTGGTTGTTTTAAAATTGTGGAAAATTGTAACGAAAATCTTGTGTGGCCATTCTCCTCAACAATATCTGTTGAAGAGAAACTTATTGATTAGAACAAACCTCCAATCTATGATGAAAAGTCCATTGCTCAAGAAAAATATATTAATCCTTCATCATGATATTCAAGAGAATGGAGAGAATATTTATCATACTAGAAACTTGGATAGCATTGTCTTACAAGTCTATGAGGATCCATATCGGCAAGCATTTTTGCAAAATTCAGAATGGTCAGTGAAGGAAGAATTAAATTATTTGAAGAAATGTGTTTCAAAAGTTAAGAGATGTAATGAAGATATTCCAATTCGTATTGGACAGTTACACCACCAGCTATCTATCAAAAAGTTGGAAACAAAGGAGTACAACAGAAGCACAATACGAAATGTTAGAGGACGTTCACATGGTAGTATGAATTCGAGGGCAGATTCTCTCCAACCCGAGGAGGATGATGCAGTATGGGATTCACACCAACTGAGTAAACATTTACAAAGTTGGTTTTCAAAGACCCATCTTAGTACATATTGGGGGAGGATAACGTAGTATAGAAAGAAGCTAATAAATTCTATGCAAGTTGGGACCACTACAAGACATGTAAAAATCAGAGGTGATGGCACCAACACAACTTAGTAAATATTTACTGAGATAGCATCACTGCGGAATTTCTATTTTAGTTCATTTTTACCAAGTTAGTACCATTGCAGGATTTCTAACTTAGTTCGTATTTACCAAGTTAGCGTTACAGCGAGATTTCTAAATTTGTATTCAATTAAGACTTTCTTTTTTGAAGAGATTTAGTAGGATTATAATGAGTGTTTTATTATATTAGGAAACTTCCTTGTAAGAGGCATAAGGTTGTAAGTCTATATAAAGAGTAGATAGGGCAAAGCTAGAAAAGTTTTATGTTAATTTTCTCTAAATTATTCAATGAAGAATTCTTTTTCCCGTTTATTTCAGCTTTTGCTCTTTTCTTTGAAGCTTCTCTCAACGCGATTTGTTTCCGTACTGCGCCAAACTCTAGTCTATGTTTCCGATACATGGATGAGTTTATGGGTCATATATTAAGTTATCAACATGAGCAAAGTAATATCAAGGCATTACAACTTTTACTACTGATAAATATCAAATCAACTAATGTGGAAGAGAATCATACCTTCATTGAATTCCATTCTTCATTGAAAAAATAAGGACATTACCCAATGTTGGTCCCAGTTAACTACAGTTATTTGGGAGGGGTGGACTGGATACACTCCTAACCTGTGCTAGGTATAACGAAGAAGGGCACAATAGGTTCACCTTGTCTAATGCCCCTAGAAGTAGGGTAGACACCCTTTACTACCCCATTCACCATGATTGAATAATGACAAGTACTTAGGTATCCCCAAAGTCATTTGTACCATTTATCCCCAAAGCCACTATTCCTCATGATCCCCACCAAAAAAGACCAATCCACTCAATCATAGGCATTTTCCAAATCTAGCTTTCGTATGTCTACTTTTCTCCTTGATCTCCTTCATTCCTCCACGCACTCATTGGCTATAAGAATTTTGTCAATTATTTGTCTACCTTATACATTAGAATTAATACACACTAGTGTGTGTGAGCCTATGAATACAAGGGCTAGGGGTGGTATTGAGTATTACATCACTTCCAAAATTACTACTCAAGATATGGGCACATCAAGACTTGAAGCATCTTGATAAAAGCATCAACTCTTCATTGTAATAAGCGTTGAGAATCCCCAGACAATGAGTTCATAGGATATTTAAAAGAGAATAGCATTATATCTCAATGGGCAGAACCCAACACCCTTAAGCACAATGGAGTTTCAGAGAGAAGCAACCATACCCTGATATATATGGTTAGTTCTAAAATGAGCCATCATGGATTTCCTGTTGTTAGACAGTGTATGCCCTTAGCTCCAATCAGATTGATGTACATAAGCATTTATTTGTAAATGAATAAAGTACATTGTTGTTTCATGTTAATAATTGATATGTTTCTWTGTATTACCCCTTAAACTGGACACTTAAGAGACTCGTGTTAGTTTAAAATGTTCTCAGCCATTGGATAAACCCCAAGCACAACCAGTGGGTGTTTATTAGAAGCACTGAACCCGAACCAATTTCCATTTATGCCTAGGATCTTGGAGATAGATGGGAAAAACTAGAAAGTTGCACATAACCCCAAACTTGATTATGGTACTACACTAGGTGTTGCACTAGGCTGTCTTTGATATGCCAACCAGTGAGATCCATCAAGGGTCAAATGCATAAGTATGTTAGGGTTGTCTAAAAATTCACCTGAGTGAATGATCATAATTATAGGATCGGCCCCTTTGTCGAACAAAGTGAATATCAGGGTTTACACACTCTTTGATGGAAACCTAAACTACCGAAAGTTGATTTCACCTATGTCTGAAATCTAGTTTTGCAAAATGTATTTATATTATACACTACTATTTTATGAAAAATGTTGCAAAAGGTTTTAATCCCGGGATCTATCCAACCAAAAAGTGACACAGCACCTTGCATCCAGGGGAGAGGTCCTTTCCTGGTAGTGTTTTGATCGTTATGGGCCGAGAGGTTAAGTGTAAAAGACCATTATAGGGTTGATTACCTGATAGACTTTGTCTTACATAAGTCCATTATCCTTGGGTCTTCATAGGGTGGCTGAATCCAAAGATCATTTAGGTGTACATGTTGGGCCCAAATTGAACCAATGCTGATTGGATCAAGGGCTCATTGCCCTAAGCAGTGAATTCAGCCTAGCCCATTTCACGGGTAGGGCCGAACCCATATGGACTTGTGTGAGATCATTGTGAGGTCCCATGCCATACAATATCAGGCCTAAAGTGACCATGCAACACCTAGGGTCGTGAGCCTTTGAAGAAATGGGCCAAAGGCCCAAAATTAATAATAAGATTAACTAAGCTATTACATGACAACTTAAATTGTCATGTGCTTTGGGTCGAATCTGGGTTTGGTA